ATATATATATATATATAATTATATATATTAATAACAATTAAAATAAAATATCATACCAGGTACTATCAGTTTTTTAAACATGGTTTTTAAGGCCTATGGTTAATCCATTAAATTAATGAAGTTATTTTTGTGGACGTGGCATTAGTGTATCAAACTGTTTGATCACGTTATTTTATGTTTAAAAAAATATTAATTTTATAATTTTATTTAAATTTATGTGTTTATCCATTTAGGATGAAGACATTATGATGGATATTCCATTGAAAGATGAATTTATAACCGATGTTGATAAAATAGAGGATGTAAATTTGGATGAAACATCAGTGATTAAAAACTGGTCTTCGTTAATGAATGATGATCTTGGCTCATTAATTCCAGAATATGATTGTGTTTCTACTTCAAAAGTAAAAGAACAAAGTGAAAGTGAAGTCCAATTGGAGTTGGAAGGTATATTTTTTAATTAAAGTCATACGTTTACATTTTTATATATAAACTATTTTTATATGTGTAAATGTATTTTCAGTTACTTTAACTCCAAAARTAGAGGATGTAAACTCAACAACTAATCAAATTCCGTCTAATGGGCCAAATGAAAATAATATGAATATTATTCGAGAACTTCCAAAAAACATTTCTCCGCCTGTGGTTGTTCAAATGCCTATTCAGCCTCTTGTTATTACTTCTTCTAACAGTTCGCCATTACCTAGTACACCATCTTTATCTATATCTCCGTTACTTCAAACTCCTTTCGAGTCTAATATCTCTAATGATTTTTCATTTATCAACACAATATCTAATATCACATCAGCGCCTTCTGATCGTCCAGTTCACCAAACTTATGTGTCATCAATCAAATCACAATCACAAGTAAGAGTTATACTATTTTTTCTCAGTATTGTTGAAACATAAAATTGTATTGTGTCAAAAATTTAAATTATTTTTGTGCTTTAAAGGTGAGCTCAGGTAACAGCGGATCAAGTAGAACTAGCGGTAGATCAACAGTGAAGCAACCACAACCACCTGGTGCTATAAATTTAGAAAGAAGTTACCAAATATGCCAAGCTGTTATACAAAATAGTCCTAATCGTAATCAACTTAGGTGTCAACTGAAACCACCACCTGCAATATTAATTGGCAAAACCTCTATGTAAATAAAATAATATTTTGTGAATAATTATTGAGAACTAATTTTAAAATTGTATATTAGTTTACGAAATGGGCCAAAACCAATAAGGAACATAAATATCAACAGCAGTTCACAACCTTTAGTTGTTAGACATGTGTTTGCATCTTCTCGTGGCATTCCTGTAACAATGTCTGTTGGACCACCATATACATCTGATGTAAGTACTAAGTAATAAACATGTTAATGTTATTATCATTCTTATTAAATAATTATTTAATATATCCAAAAAAAATTGATTAATTTTTTCTCAGTTGCATCAATTTTTAATAATTGTGTATTTTAATTATCACTCAAAAAAAATTTTTTAGCTATATAAAATGGTCAAGMGTTTTTTTGATAATAACATTTAGTCATCATCTTTGATCGTGTATTTTATCTTCAATAACATTTTGAATTTTGGAATGGATTTAAATCAATTAATTCAATATTTTTATTTTCCTATTGTTAAGAAGGTTCTTTATGAAATGAGTTATAAGTTAAAGCTGTTTTTATTATAATTTTATAGCAACAACAATTAACCGAAAAACAAATGGGGCAGTACCTGTTGGTCCAGAGATCTGGTGGAATAACAGGCATACGCCGATCATCTAGTGCTCCTCCGACCAATAATAAAATACCGCCAATTTTGAATGGTGGAAGACCAGCAAGTGTAGGTATACAAGTATCTACCTATGGTCAGTCACAGCAATCAAATGATTGTTCATGTAGTCTTAACGCTATGGTAGTATGTAAGAAATGTGGAGCGTTTTGTCATGACGATTGCATTGGTCCTTCTAAACTTTGTGTTACATGTCTTATTCGATAATAAAGCTCAAAGTTTGATATTAAAAATATTATCATAAAATGTAACACAGGCTAAATTTTAATCAGGTTTTCCATAAATTTATGAAGTATACAGTTGATAAATTATTATTTTTATTAATTAACGTATTGCCTATATTTAATTTGTTTAATTTTATTTTTTCAAACCTTCAGTCCTAATTATATTGTTATATATATATATAAGTTGGTTTTCATAAAGCTAAAGTATTTACAAACATTATCAATAAATACTAATTCTTAGCTTATTTAATTGTTCACTCTCATTGACCATTATATCTCCAATTACACAAATGCAAATATAAATAAGATTAAAATTAATTATTTATTTATTTAAATAAATTTCAAAGTCAAATTTATCAAAATTAATAAATCATAAATTTAATTAAAATGTATATAGATTTTACTCCCATTCTGATAATAATCATGTGTACTTATAAGGTAATTTTTAAACATCTGTTATTTATTTCTAAAACTTAAGTTAAATCACTACCCATAATAATTAGTAACCATATAATATACAAATCAAATAATATCTCATTAATTATGTGAACATTTTGCATGATTGTTCCGTATCATCTCATTTGTAATAAAATTAGCTCATGGTAACATGTTAATTATATAAACTAATAATTATTTATAAACAATTTAGACAAAAATATAATTAATGCATCAATGAGGTTGAGTTTTCTAGAAACTTTATTTCTTATTAAATGAATTTAGTTTTCAAAATGTAAATACCTTTAATATTAAATTAAAAATTACCTTGTATAAGTATAGCATTTAAATTATTAAACAATTAATTAAAGCATTTTATATAAGTCCAAACTTATTAATATTGTTATGTATTAAAATGTATAATAGCCTATCACTAGTACATTATTCATAATTATATTTGTTTTTCATTTGTCTTTAAATATTCTTCTGATAATTGATAAAACAATGACACCATGTTTTATATGACTTTGTTATTAATATAATTATATTTAATTTTTAAGTTGTCAATCTCAAATTTTTCAATTTTTTTAATAAATTTAATAATATATATATATTTATATATATATTTTTTTATTAAAGTTTAATTGGTTATAACTGAAAACATTTATAAGTTAAGAGCTTAATTCAAACTTGTGTGGTGTACAAGACTATGTTTCTATATTTTTGTCCATTATGTGATAATATAGAGTATTTAGAAATGTTCTCGTTTCTTCTCTAAAGCTCAAAAATATAATGTCAATAGAATTATTCTTTTAAAATGTATATAATATTATAAAATGGATTTATTATAGTTAAAAAAATATTGCACTCCCCCACCACCATATTCCAATTTAAATAATCAAATTACAATGACTGTCTTAATTATTATATTGAATAATTCCATATATTACGTGCCTATATATATTATACATGTATTTAATGATGATTACTAGCTTTATTTCAGTTATTGAAGTCCAGTTTGTATTAAAATACGGGGTCAGTGGTACAAAAACAATATGTAAATAKTGATACCTAGAAAATATTTGCTTACAGTTATGTAAAATATACAGGTACTTATTACATTCAAAGTTAAGATTTAATTTTACTTGTCATCATTATGATTTACCATTAATCAACTATAATCTAAGTATTAACCAGTAATGAGTGACTGTATAAATTTATTGAAATTAAATGATCTGTTATTAACTGTTCAAGCAAAAGAAAATTAACTTAAATATGCATAATATTTCGGTGATGGAATTGTGTTATCTTAATAAATCTTTTTTTTTTTCAAATTTCAATTGTATTAATGTAACAATGTTAAACCCATTTTACTCTTTTATGTAACCGTTAATCAATTATAGTGTAATATCTATTTGAAAAATATATGCGTAACTATTATTATGATCACTTGTCGACAACATTATATACACAACAAAAACAGATTTTTCATATTTTTTGTAATATCTCTCTTAAAATGATGTATCTTATTAGTTATGGGTTCACAATAGGAAAACAAAAATCTAAATTGATATTAAGTACTCCATAATTGATAATATTTTCGTTAAGTTTTTGTTTTTTTTTTTTTATTTACTTTTTAATGAATATTTAATGTGTCCTAATTAAAAAAAAATTAATAAACAATTATTTGATAAAAAATATAGGATTTAGTGATATTCTTTATATTTTTTTTCAATATAATTTCCTCATATTATTTTATTATGTATCATTTATAAATTTACATTATACACACATAATTAAGCAACCATTTATTTTTCAGAAAAAATATTAAATACAAATTTTATTTGTTGATTATTATTATTTTTTCATCTAATATAAATAAGATATTTGATGTTATAAAATAAAATATATATGATGTTTTTTTTTTTTTATTTAGTTTTATAAAAATACCTACTAGATACTAAAAAATTAAGCATTTATTTAGGTTAAATATAAACTGTACATAAATACATTGATTCTCATTCTGTTTATGCTACTGTAATGTTAATTTACTGTATTATGAATAGAAATAATATACGATTATTAAGTGTATTAAATTTGTGTTTAATTATTTGTCTAAAATATTTATGTTCTAATGATCATATTGCACAATGTCATGAAGAATAATTGTTCAACTTGTTATTTTTTGTAATGGTTGCAACATATGATGAACTTACTGAATCGTTGGTCAAAATCAAAGGACAAACCGGGCAAACAATGGGTTTTGCTGAAAAATTTTAATTTTTAATATTGATGTTTTTTTAAATTATGTATACATTTTATCATAATATGATTGTATTATTGGAGAATCTATGTAACTGTATAGTAAAAATATGTGTATAGCAGACCTTTTTTTAACTTGAAATTAAATATCGCCATTACTTGCATAATACTGGCAATAAATAATAAATAAATAATACTTATTTCATCCAAGCAAGTAGCAATTAAAAACATTATTTTTATATTATGTTAAATATTAAATAAGTACATAGGTATTTACAATAATTTTAGTTAAAATTGTTTTAATTTTTTGTCAATATTTTTATAAAAAATTTAAATTCCATAGGGTCAAATGGGGTAATTGTAAATCGGGGCATTTGTAAATAATAATCATAAGAAATTAACCAATCATTTTTAATGTATTTCATATTAATAACATGAAGGTATGAACGTATATTGATATAGTGAATCAATGAAACTTATAACATTTTGAGGTTATGTGATAATACGTTAAATAAAAGGTAATACAGGTTGTTTACATATGCCCCAGATCCAGATTCTATTTCACTCTTATAACGTGAAATCATTGTTTACATTTACCCCAAATAAATGGGGCATATGTAAATTATTTTATTTTTTCTTAAGTGATTTAATACTCTGGTCTTGTGTAGGAAATTTTATAAGCCTAGGATATGTTTATGAATGGTTTTGATGAGAAAGAAAATGTATTGTTAATTATAATTTAGAAAATAAAAAAAATATTAAAAAGTAACAAAATTTATTTACAATTACCCCATTTGACCCTACTTTCAGGCTTCAGGAATTTTTCTTTCTATGCTTAGTGTTAGTATTTGTATATACTCCGTACCACGAGAGAACGCATACGGCGGCCGACCAAAACTCGTCGTTTTCGCACATGTGCTGATTGCCTTATGCGTTCTCTGGTGGTATGGTAGGGGAAATTTGGCCTCGGTACGACGGAGCGCAATCATTCGGATGCGCCAGCCGTATGCGTTCTCTCGTGGTACGGAGTATAGCAAGTTGAGTTCCATTAGGTAGACTAGTATAGGTTATAATTTTATTAACAATACATAGATATGTAAAATTTAACATTTTAACTATCTAACTGTCAAAAACAGAATAACAGACTACTGGTGCCTAAATGGTAATAGTGAAGTCACTAAGATACACTATAATATAATTATTAGCATTCTATTGTAGTATATCTTTTTAAAATGAAATAGGTTAAAATTTAGCTTAGGTGTCAATGACTAATTCAAATTAACAAAGGGTAGTCAATTTTCTCACTCTAACTATCTACTTGACAGTAGTGGCTGTTATTAATCTAAGACCATAGTTCAGACTATTTAGTCTTTGTATTAGGTATGAAGTTTAATAGAAACAGACCTTCATAATAGCAATTATCACTGTGAGGTTTTCTTGTTCTCTGCTCACCTAGGTGCCGATGTCATAGTGGATGTAAGATATCTTCATGTGTAATTTTCCACAACAGTTAATCAACATATTAATTAAACTCAGATTTATTGGTCAAATATGATTTAAAAATTGTATTTTTCATTTCTTTGATTCTTTCACTGAATAAGTTAATAAGTATATTAGGTTTAAGTGGGTTCTTATATTAATTGCATTAGTTCTAGTCGATCTTATCAGACTACTGATCCTACCTCCTACAGATGATATGTTCTATCTTTTCGCTTTAGGTTTAATTCAGTTCTTAAAATTGAAGTTATTTAACATTTTGACTATCATATTAATATTTATATATTAATGATGTTTTATCCTGAAAGTCTAAATTAAATAAATTTTATCTATCTCTCAATATTGTTTGAATTTTCAACACATTGATGGATCTCATCGTAACTAGACTGTAGTCATAATATTATAAAAATAAATAAATAAATAATATTAATTATCGTTACCAATATCACAAATATTCAGTCGCCAGATTAGTTATTTTTTTATTTTTTTATTAACTCGTTTATTGTTTTACATATAAGTATGCAAGTACCTAATGTTATATTATAAATTTATAACAAATTTATTCATTAATAATTTTCCCAGATACCTAATCAAATTGTCCATAATTGGACATTGACTGTGAATAAATTTCATTATGTTTAAAATTGTGTGATTTTAAAATATATTTAACTACCTATTACCTTTTATTTAATTATTTAGTGATTATAATATTTTATATAATTTATWTACATTTACTTCAATAAATAATAGACTGCTTTGGTACGAAAAAAATTACTGCCGTACGTAAGTTCCCACACAGAAAAAGTTAAGTTATTAAGACTTAGGAATGACAACTTGAAATTTGTTTTGGTTTTGTATTAGATAAAAAAAATCCAATTCAATTTTTTTAGGTATAAAATAATAATAATAATAATAATAGAAAAAAAAATCAAATTTTATTTGGTTTATTGCGAAAGCTCAAACACTTCACATAGTCATAGTGTCATACTGTGTATAATTATTTTTAAGTTATAAAAGTTATATAAGTTATTTGTCAGTCTGAAGTCTGAATAAAGCGGGAAGGAAGTTTGTGTTTGGCAAGGCTGAG